TCCCCCCTTTTTTCCTGGCTTTATCTCCACCAAATGCTTAGGGCTGCAATGATTTTTTTTTTTAAATGTCAGATTTGCCAACTGGCCTGAACAGATTTGTTCTAGTTCAAACCCTGGACTGTCAGAGTGTCTGTGTTTTCCTGTTCCTCTGCCTATGCCATCCTATGTATATACACACCGAGAGATAGAGAGCGAATACATTTTTAAAGCTTTTTCCCCCCCTTTTTTCCTGGCTTTATCTCCACCAAATGCTTAGGGCTGCAATGATTTTTTTTTTAAATGTCAGATTTGCCAACTGGCCTGAACAGATTTGTTCTAGTTCAAACCCTGGATAATCATTAGACCTAAAAGCAAATATTGGCATGCCTGCATGAGCATGAAGGTGGCACCTGTGGTACATTTTCATTTAGAGGCTTGGGTTTTACGGAAAGCATTTGAATTCTGAAATGGGGGCCATTATCCATGCTTTGCCAAATTCTTCATGATCTAACCCTGTTAGCCGAATCAAGAATGAGAGTCTTTGCTTTTTTCGTTTCTTTAGGATTTTCTAAAAGAATTTTCACCTGATCAGTTTAGAATGTTTTGTTTGCGGAGCAAATACAGCTCAGGTAAGAAAACTTTATGGACTAAAGATGGCTTTACAAGATGTGTATTATTGATGAAGTTCAATTAGATGCTTAATTTGTGCATATACTTCTGAAATGACTACTTTTGCTTTAAAATGTTTTGGAGAGAGAGTTTTACGTTTTGAGATGACCTTTGTTATCACTCTTAAATTTCGATAAACTTTAAGATGCAGCATTTTTGCAGCTAGCAACTGAAGAGAGAGGCTCTGTGCTTTATTTTCACAGCAAAACTGTTAAGATAGTTAGATAGGTTATGACTGCTCCAGGAGTATTTATTTGATGAAGTTATAGTTTAAATCAGTGTTCTGCTTATAGTCCAGAATATGGTCCATTTCACTTCATTGGCATATTTCAATAATGTTTAGCTGTTTCTTAAAACACTTTTTCAATACCTTGAAAATGTCTGCCTATCTAACAGGGTTGTTGTGGGGAAAAATTGTAGGAAGGAATTCTGTGTGTACCACCTAGAGGAAAAGCAGGACATAAATCTAATAAATAAATAAAAGGATACTTCTCCTTTTTATCAGCAAGACTACAGTATCACCTTGATTGGCTGTTTACTAAAATCAGAAATGGAACTTCAGTGATATCGCTGCTTTTATTTGCAGTCAATGCACATGGAAATACACATCAAGGTATTTGATTGTGTATTTTAAATACAAATCCAACATCTCCCCTCATCTGTATGCTTTGATCTAAAACAAAGTTAACAAGCAAATCATGCTGTGTCTGAGTTGAATGAGAAGAAAGTGAAATTTTCCAAGAATTTCTATGTGGGGACTTTGTAAAATCTTTCAAAACGTGTTCTACCTGTGATGGCCCTGAAGCATTATTACTTCTCCTCTGGTCCAGAATCAGCACAAAAACCCATCTATGTCTGAAAAAAATGCTCCCCCCCCATGCTACTATATGTGCTCTATCTTTGCCACCTGATTGCTGTGGCTGCTTACCCTGTCTGCCTAATCACCACACATTGTATTTGCTCAGCCTTTCTCTCTTGCTTGCTCAATCTCTGCTTTTTGCTGATTGTGCACTTAGTCCCTCCCTCCCTCCATCCCGATGTCTCCCATCCATTCACCGGCCATACATGACTTATCTCTCCCACTGTGACAGGCCACTGTTCTGGGTATGACAGGAGTGCTGCGTAATGCTTCTGGTCAGTCAACCTCGTGCCACATACTTTGGTTCCCCCAAAGCCACGTTCATGTAATCCTTTTTTATAATGTCATAACTGGTAAGCTAGTCAGTACCTGAAGAAAGTAAGCAAGATGAGCTTGTTGGAAATACACAGGAACTGTTACCTAGGCAAAAAGGGCTAAAACATTTTCAGGTCCAGAATGGCAAGATAACATTTGGAAGTAGCTCAGAGAGATGCCTCCCTAATTCACTGGATTAGAAGAAGAAGGAGGTGGAGATACCGCACAGTCAGACTTGCAGAATTCTGTCATTATAGCCAGTATCAATAAAGTATAGTTTTAACCTTTCTGTGGAGTTAATTTCCTGGTCTGGTCTACCTGGCGAACTGGCAGTACCTTTATTTCTCAACCACAGGGTCATTAGGAAGATGGTGATTTTCTCTAACCCGATCCATGGCATTAGAAGCAGTACATTTTGCTTGATGGGGCAAATCAATTTTCCGTGATTAATTGCTGCTTTGTGACCCCCCTCCTCCCCAGCTTCAGCAAATCAGATTTTGGAAGAGAGCATTTCAGACCACTAAAACAAAAGTAGAAGAAAATGTGGGATTCTCTTCCTACTTTTCAAGGGATTCTTGCCTGCACAAGGCAAAGAAGAGTGAATAGTTTTAAAACTGTTCTAGAACTAGGTGATTATTAGTTCCAGATTCCCCCAGTGACTTCTACCTAAAAGCCAATATTTTCAGATCTGCCTGGTATGAAACACAGTTCATTCTCTTTAAGTAAGTCTGGTAGATAGCTGCAAGGAAGGTAGTACAAAGACTGGAGAAATTCCTTCAAAAGCCATTAATTTGTTGATTAATCCAGTGGGTCAATTCATTAATGGACAGTAATAAAGATACCTGCATGCACACTCTCTGTCTTTCTGTCTCTCACGTACCCTTGTGTAATAAATCTAAATTTAGTCAAAGCTACTAAGTGCTATGAAACATCTACGTCTTTGAAACTGGACTGAGTAGCATTGCTTCCTTTTGAGCGCACCTGGGAATGTGAGGAGAACCAGAAGACCTGTTTTATTGTACAGTTTGCTTCCATTTATCTCTGGAGATTGGTTAACACAGGAATTGAAGCAAAATAGATGAAGAAGCAAGGGAGGGACATTTGAGTGCATTTTTTTGGGGGGGGGGAATCTTTATTGTCTCTTAGAGCTGCTTAGAGTAATCAGTCTGCTAATAAGTGCCCAGGACAATAATTTACAACAGGTTCTTTTATTACTGTTTTGTTGGCTTATTATGTACCTTGAACAATTCCCAGAGCTAGAAGTCTAATGATACAGAGCATGACTCGTTTTGATATCTTACTTATGCATTGTATCTCTTTTAGGCAATTAGGTCTGTTTACTGTCCCAGATACTGTTAAAAGATACTATTATCTTTTCAAATTGAGTTCAAGTGTTCTGTAAGACAAATCCTACCAAAACTGGAATTAAGGGGGAGATATCTGTAACAACAAAAGTTCTAATCTCTTTGACCGAATGGGATAATGTTCTCATTTCCTTTGGTGACTTCCGACATATGCAAGAAACCCTACAGTGAGAAATTTTGGAGGGAGAAGGGCAGGGAAAGCACAGTGTTGTTTTTTTCAATTTTAAAATGTGGTGCTCTCTATTTTAATATTGCCAAACTGTTTATATTGTCCCATATAATTACATTTATTTTCCTAGGAGTGGAATATAGCGATGATACCATGAATGATGCAAAGAACATTCTTCACATAATACATTCTTTTATAAGTAGTGCTAATGCCTACATGAAGGGACAACTTAACTGTGACACCATTAGGGAAGATGTACTTTGGGACAAGTAAGTGCTACGTTCTCCTTTATCATTTGTATTTGCAACTGGGCTGGTGCCTTATGGAGAAGAACAACATGGTAGAAGTTTGAAGAGAAGCTGCTTCAGACAGCAAGTGTAATGTTAAGATATTTCCTTTGTAATTAACCTCTGCCTGTAAAACTAACATAGAAGGGTGAAAATTTCTTAATATGAGGGTTTTCGGCTTGTATGGGTGCCATTAGATAGCAAATGGGACAATAATGGAACCATTTTTAGCTCAGTTTCCTCTCTTCTGAAGGCTGACCTTTGTGCATTTTTTGTGCAATGCCATGGGTGCCCTGATATTAAAAATAAAATAATGTCAATTTTTAGTAAATCTCATGTGAGAACGTGAACAACTTGTGCAACTCAGCTACGTTGCAAGATTTCAGGCACTTCAATTTTTTTTTTTTAAATGAAGAGCCATCTAGTGGTAGTTTGGGCATCTTGGTGCCTACAAGTACCATGTGGTTAACCCCCCACTTGTGCATATTGACAATTCCAAAGGCATCTTGTGTACACCTAAAATATGAATAGTGAAACAGCTTTTGTTTTCTGTCAGAATAAACCAAGCCAGCAAACTCTTCCTTTTCATTTTTTTAACTAGGACACTAACATGGGTGGAGAACCAAATATTGCTGAACTGCAACTTTCAGCACTCTTAGCCAGCATGGACTTCATATATATTCATTCCCCCCCCCACACACACACAGAGTAACCTTTTTAATCAGATAGATAGATAGATAGATAGATAGATAGATAGATAGATAGATAGATAGATAATTGTAGTTAGTACTGAATAGCTTTAATCCTCATAGAAGTTTTATGTGTGCCTTTTACTTATCTCAGTAAATTAAAAAATGTCTATGTGTTCTTAATAGTGCCTAGATCACATCAAGGATAACTGTAGAAAATGCCTGTGGCTTCCATTTAAAGCAGTGATTTTCAGTTTGAAGCTGTGGAAGTCTGATTTGATTTTTTTTTTATTTGTTGATTGGCTTACAGCAATGAGACAAAGTTTTGTTTCTGGTGTCTTACATTCTACGTTTTCCTTCAAGACTAGCCCTTACTAAGAAAACAGTAGAGGCAGCGTGTGCAGATGACTTTGACACTCCCAGGGCTATTCGTGCAATTTTGGACCTCATTCACTATGGCAACAGACAGCTTAAAACCGTCACTAAGGTAACCCATTAGGACACAAAGATCAGAAAGCGACAGTTGTCTACAGCTCGGTACTGACAGATCGGTGTATTATTTTTCTAGAATAAGCCATCAGGAAAAAGAAGCAACATTCCTATAACAAGCATTTATCCAAACTGCATTTGTAAAAAGTCAAAACTGAATTTGTTGTGTTTTCCCAAATTTTATTTTGGTTATTGCTGTGCTGGATTTGTAGACAGCTTATGAAGGATGCCCTTTTCTCTGCTATTCACAGAGAAAAAGAAAGAAGAAAAATAAAAATGTTAATAAAAAAAGTATTTTCTTATTTCTCATTCCAGATTCTTTCCTATCTCCCCCTCACCAAATGCTAGTTGATTGTGAAGGGTTTTTAAAGCTTTCTGTGCACTTGGGCACAGCTTTGTAAACCAGGGGTCCCCAAACCCTTCAGCGCATTGACCCTTTCATGAAGTTTCAGTTTGTTCACTGAGCCCCAAACATTTATTATGTGAAAATAATTTCATAAATGCTACTTTGGATAATTGCACTATGAATAATAATAATAATAATAATAATAATAATATCATCATCAACCCCTTGGATAGTCCCATCGACCCCTGGGGATCGTTATTGACCACGGTGACCTCTGCCTTATCTGTTTAACCTCCGTTCCACTGTTGGCTTTAACATACACCTGTCTCCTCTTGGGTAGAGCTGTTAAAAAAAGTGTGTTTCTCTTCTCCACCCCCACACCTGTGACTTTTTCCCCCTGGTAGAGCTGATTGTACCATCTATTTTTGCTGTTGCTTTCATCCCCATCAAGCTGCTAAGCTTTACAGCCACAATACTTTTGAAGACAAAGACAGCAGAACCTGTTTCCTTCTAAAGGGCAGTTTGGTAAGGCACTGAAGGGCTGAAGGAGGTATAGGAGAATAAATGACATAAGATGCTCTTGCTAGGACTGTGCAAAACCATTTGGAAAGGTATTTTGCAAAGGTACTTTCTCAAGCCACTGCTTGAAACATCCTAAACTTCATGATAATATTTTTCCTGTATGCATATATTTTCTCCCTCTCAATATAATAAAAAAGAGAGTGTCTAGGCTTTTCTCACAACCCCTGCTCCCCTAATTCTATAAACTTTATAACATTTCAAATGTTGTTTAATTCATACCAAGTTAGACTTTAGGTGGATAAGCCTGGCATGTCCTGTGGCTTTGCAAATGGAAGCGTTAACTCTTCCCTTCTTTCTCCTCAGTTTCTAAGACTTCATACAGTATTGCTTGTATGATTTTGGATTTGTGTTTGGAATCATAAAAGCTGTGGATGTATGTTAAATGCTAAAACTGAGGCTGAATTTTCTGGTCCTAAACATGATTCTTGGATTGTGCTATCGTACAGAATTATAGAGTCTCTAGTGCAGTGTTTCTCAACCTCGGCAAGTTTAAGATGTCTGGACTTCAACTCCCAGAATTCTCCAGCCAGCAAGCTTGCTGGAGAATTCTGGGAGTTAAAGTCCAGACATCTTAAACTTGCTGAGGTTGAGAAACACTGCTCTAGTGAAAGATGAGCCAATGTGTAAAATACAATCTAATTGTACAGCTTTTCTCAGATGGTGAAGAAGCTTTGGCAAAAGCTATAATTATAAATAGTAGAAGGCCAGCAACTCCACAGGCCTTACTTTCTGAGCGTTCACTCTGCATTTATGTTTTAATAACTTCCTTTGCTATAGTTAGGTATTTTTAAACATGGTTTTAAGAGAACTGCTTTTATGTATCACACGTTGTCCCATCTACATTATAATTGTAGCTCACCTTGCTACTGTTAAGAGTTTTCCATTCTTGGATAAAGAGAGTTTAGGAAAGGTTAAAATAAGGCAGTTTCTGCAAAGCTGCTTTGCAAAACGGTTGGAAAATGGTTTATTTTCATCTTGGGTTCCTGCACTGGAAGCCGTGGTCACCAAAGTGAACGGTTTCAGTTACATTAGCTCCTTCTTTGTGTTTGTTCTGAAATCAGGAAAACAGGTCCCCTAGAAGTGCTGTTGTGTTTGGAGCCATACTCTCCTACATGGTGGAATTTTTTAACACGGTCGGGATCACCCTTGCTGAAAGTCAGGTAAGAGGCTGCTATAAAAGTGTGTTCATTAAGAGACTCTGTTACTGTAGGCTCATCCCCCAGGCCTAAACCCAATTGTTTGCCACGGCTTTTGGGCTGCATGAAAAGAGATTTCTACTTGGTTCCCATTGTTGAGCATTCTGTGTATGTAAACGTACGATGCTGCTGCTACTCTGGGCAGTCCCCTTTTTCTGAGGAGCAGTGACTGTTGCAGACCTTAAGAACAGAGAACATTTTTTTCCTGCTCTCGATGGAACCAGAGATTTTCAGCATGGGGGATTTTTGTGAGCTTCCCAGCCAATCTCTGTTCCACAGTGGAAAATGCAGCTCTGTAATCACCACTTCACTTGAGCTTATATGTGTGTGCTGTACTGTTTGCTACATCTGAACTGTTTTCCTTGCTGGGATTTTGTTAAGTTTGAAGCTAGTCTTAATTTAAAATTGGGAAGATGCTTTAAGAGTCAACACTCTTTGCTTGATGTTATAACTGACTTTCGATTGCATGCATATAACATCATCAGTCTTGATTTTAAGTTTACAATTATTATTAACTTTATTTTATATTGCTGTTCCTCCAAAGGCACCCAGAGTGGTGTACAGTAGCAGTGAAAATCAATCTCTAATCAAAACACACTTAATTATGATTTATAGGTTCCTGCTGAACACAAGCATTCAGCTTTGCTGTCCAGTGTGATAGATGAACTAGTAAGCTTCCGGATCAAAGTGCGCAGTTTTGCTCTTGCTGTGCCTGAGGCTGCAGGAAGTATGTCTGCCGAAAGTGCTGACTTCTCAGAAGAAGAAAAACAGCAACAGAAAGCAGAAAGACGGCAACAGTTGCAGGAGAGAATGCCCCTTCTGCAAGCATGTGACCGCCTTCGTCAAGACTTGGCTATATATGGTATCAACATAAAGGTTTGTCTCTGCATTGCCCAAATTCTGCTTGCTGGTCACTTTTATTTGACTGACTGCTTGGGCTGACCTAGGAATAAAGCTCCAGCTGTACTTTTCCTTCACGTTGAGAACAGGCAGTGTCCTTTTCTCTGCTTTGTACTATAATATAAAAAATAACTAGGGGCAGGTCTGAATTGAATCCCTATGTTTGATTGAAGAATGCCATCTGTAATGCTGGCCTAGGTTTAGCGGCTTTTGCAGATGTTCTAGGTGGAACAGCATGGTTAAGTGTTAGAGTCTCACTGGGAAGTTCTACATATTCCGGTACTCCTGTAATTGCATTGTAGAAAGAAAGGGAGTAGGGTTGGCCTTAGAAAATGTTCTACAAATTTGCTCGTTCAAGCAGCTTTTGGATTTCTTTATCTGCCTAGATACTAGAATGGGTGGCCAGGGGTTAGTCTTAACATTTTTAGGGAGAACAAGGGGCTGCAATAAGCAAAATTATAATGCAATGGGGGTTGGATATTTGTTTTTTAAATAGGACTAAGCTCCACTGAAAGCTAAGGAGTAGATTCAGTCTCACTGTATATGTATTTATTCAATTCCTGCTGAGGGAGAAAACCAGGTAAAAGATGAACATAAGCAGTATGGGGAAGCCATCTTTGCTGGAAATAAAGATACCTGATTTCAAAATTATTCCAGTGTAACACATGGTCAACATTAATACTGCATTCCAAAAACTGTTTAGCATAACAATTATTAGGAGTCGTTTTGCTGGAGCCCATATTTAACTAAAAACGCAGAGGAAGGAGAAAATATGTAGTTACGATAGGGGCAGATAGGTTGTTACTGGGACTAAAGCAAGCCATCACTTAATCAAGTTTGTCAAGCTATGGGAAGCTTCAAGGATAAAATAAGGTTTGCATGAAATCTCAAATATATCAGTGAAATATTAATAATTCTGTCTATTATTAGATAGAAGAGAAAATACCAGTCATAGAAAATAACACAAGGAATCCAACATATTGCATTCTTAATAGGTTTTTATTTTTTCCTCCAAAATAGTATTGTAAGAAATCAAGTATTCTGAGCTTGTACTTTAAGTGTTAACTCTACTTTCTTCATAAAGTCAACTTCAGTAAATAATTCCCTGGGCCAACATTAAGTCTTGTGGAGTGATCCTTGCCTTAAACACACAATTGCATAAGTGAAAGAATCAATTGTTTCCATTGTTCTGGAATGATACAATCACATGAAAAATGTGGGATTTGATCTAGGCCATTTACTAAAAGCTTAAGTGATACACTGAAAGTTTGAAGTTTGCCCAAGCCTATTCAGGCTTGGGCAAACTTCAAACTTTCAGTGTATCACTTAAGCTTTTAGCAAATGGCCTAGATCAAATCCCACATTTTTTTAACGGAAATTTGATTTATTCAGATAACATTTTTATAACTGAATGACAGCTCTCATAACTTCCACAGATTAAGTAAAGCTGCAAAAGTAATACTATGGGAAGCTAGTTTTCTCCATATTTGAACCTGCATCTGAACTGAAGGCTAAAATAAGCTTTGATATTTTTGGCAAAGCTTGCATAGATTTGTATACGGGACTTCCAAATTCAGTTTTGATTTATAAAAGGAAATAGAATGCAATTCTCTGCTTTTTCTCTCCTACCCCCACCCCATTCCCCAAAATATCTGTAGGATAGAAGTACTACTTCTACATGGGAACTTGGAAAAATCAATAACAAACTGGAAAAACACTGATGAAGGGATGAAGTATACTTGGAGTGATTATCGATTTTTTTTTAAAAGCCAGACTGATAAAGAATCCTGTCTCTTTGATTGTTGGACTTTCATTCCAAAGCAAGCTAAATAAAATATTATCAAACATTCTACTCGCTCTTGTGATTTGGGGAATACAAGTGTTGATTTACTGATTTGTATCTGTTTCTCTACTTCACTGCCCATGTGAGGATTTAGTTGCTTCAAATAAGTCTTCTGCAGTAGTAGAAATTATCTCGTGAAACCTTTGTCAGCTCTAATGATTGAAGAGCTGATTTGCCTAAGTTTATTCCACTGGCTGTTGTAATCATATGGCTGGAGTGACCTCTTTACATATTTACACTTTATCAATGGTCTTGACTGGATGCAACATAGCTAAATTATGATTTAATTTAACATCACCAGAAGTATCAAAGGAAGTGAATTTTGAGAACGGGGCTGAATTATAGATGTTGCATTTTAACAGCAAACGTTGATATGCGCGTCTACAGGCTATTTTGTCAACATAAGCAGAATTTCCCATCAGATTTAGGCTTACATTAACAACTTTTCTTTGGCTGACACCAATGAGCATTTTAAGAACTGAAGCGCAGGGCATGGTCTGTGGAAATCGCAGCTGTCCTCAGCAAGTACCTTGTCCCCACAGTGGAAAGAAACATCTAGGTGAACAGAGACAATGAGAAAGGAAATACAGCTAAGCTTTTTGAAGATGGCATTTTTTTGAAATGGAGAGTGTGTGGAAAAGTTGAAATAACATGCAGGGTGGAAAGTGTAGAAGCAAGGAGCATAAGGAAAGAGAAACTTTTCTCACTCCCCCGTGGAGAATTGTTTTCAGCTGTAGTGTTTGAGGGGGTTCTTGAACACACAGGCCATGTCCAGTCACCCCACAGCACCTTGTTGAGATTTAGATCTGGGTTTTAGCTTGGCCATTCCAGAACCATCTATTTTTTTTCCCCAGCCATTCCTTGGTAGATTTTCTAGAAAGTTTAGGATCATTGTCCAATTGCTTGGTGATCTTTTTAAATTCCTTCCCAGACTCATAGGCATCTATAACTTTCTTTCTGAAGGCCTCAGAGAGCTCTTTTGATCTAGGCATGGTGATATCACACACTTCAACAACGAAGAGCAAATCAAACTAAATGTCTCAGGTTTTAATAAGACAAGTTTCTCCCCAGTCCTCTGTCACTATGTTCTAGTCATTGGCACCTGCTTTGTTGCACCCAATTCTAATTTTAGGGTATTTGAGGTAGAGACAAATGTAGAGATGTACTTATTTTTTCTATGTGCAAAATTTGCACTTATGTTAAATTACACAAGGAGCTACAAAACGTAAATGGTGCATATTTGTTATGTTATATCCCTTTTATCTATCAATAGTGGTGAAATGAAATTCAAATATCTATGCTGAAAAAGTAAAAAAAAATCAATAGGGTATACTTACTTTTTTACACATCTGTTAAGTATATTTACATTATCTACACCTTTGGCGCCCAATCTTGGGAACACTACGTTATCTATTTCTTTTGGAGTTTTCAAAAAACGGAGAGTTAACAAATATTATCAGAAGAGAAGGAATTGGTTTGCATTGCAACTTCAAAAAGAGAAAATGACCAACATATTGTCCACATTTAACCTGTGAGTTGGCAAGTGCAGCTACTGTAATTCAAAGGCCTTCTTGCAAGCTAAATAGCTTATTATTTTGTATGCATGCTTACATGTGAAGAGTGCGTTATGTGTATGAACAGCCAAATGGAATTCCTGGTTTTGTCTGGGCCTTCCAGTCTCCAGACTGGCTTGAATAAGGAAAATCATGCTTCATGATTTGACCCTAAACAAGAGTTTATTACCTCCTTGCAGCAAAGAAGCGAAGCAGGGGCAGGACTTACCTCTAGGGAGGGCTCCTTCCACAGCTCCATGAGTTCTTTCTATTTTGATCTTTAAATCTACTACAATGGTTCATGTCCTCTTTTTGTTCCTTTCATAGAATAGCCAGTAATTTACTGAAGAAAAGTGTTACTTGTTCTCATGTCACCCTGCCACATAATTCACTCTGCAGGAGTCTGACAAATGAGCTTGTTCTAAGTGCCAATCTCAGTGGGTTTTATGGGGATTACAGGTAGTCCTCGATTTACCACAATTGGGACTGGAATTTCCATCGCTAAGCGATGTGGTCATAAAGTATGACATCATTTGACCACATCGCTTAGCAACCACCACCTGGGTGGTCCCGGTTGTTGTCATAACCCCAAGACGTGCGGGTCATTAAATGGGAAGAGGTAGGAGTCCCAGGCAAGGAGCACAGGGGTGCTGCCAGGGGGTGTGGTAGGCCACATGAGTTGGAGGGGGGTGCTGCAGTGCGGCACCAGCATAGGAAGGCCAGGGAAAGAATATGCTGTGGTTCGGGGGCTTCTTGGCACACTATGGCTGCAGCTTTTTTCAGCCCGAGCTGCAGTGTGCCAGGAAGCCCCTCCATGCTGCATGTAGCCCAGACCAGCAGTGTGGCACAAAGGGGCTTCCTGGCTCCTGCTTCTGCCCCAGGAAGCCCGTCTAGCAGCATGGTGCAAACCAGCCGCCCCAGGAAGCCCCAGCCCAGCTGCCCTCACAGCCCTGCACTCTGAGACCCCTTCCATCCTGTTCTCCACCATTCCAGCTTACCTTCATCTTCCTGCTCCCACTGCTGACAAGGCGTGCCCACCCTGGCCCTTCACAAGGCAGTTGCTGGCACGAGCCCATCTTCTCCAGGTCTTGCAAGGAAACCGCTGTATGCAACCTGGAGAAGCAAGCCTTGTGAAGCCAGCAGCTGCCTCGCAAAGCACCAGGCCAGGCATGCTTGGTCAGCAGTGGGAGCAAGATGGTGAAGGTCAGCTGGGGGCAGGGGCCGTGGAGTACAGGGAGCTAAAAGGACATAGATAGGGGGAGATGGGTGGGGGAAGTTGAAATGCCTCTGCAGTCATAAGTGTGGGTGGTCTGCCATGTGCCTGAATTTTGATCACGTGACTGCAGGGATGCTGCAATGGCTATAACTTTGGGCACTGGTCATAAGTCCCTTTGTTCATCATCGTCATAACTTCGAACAGTTGCTGAACGGTCATAAGTTGAGGACTACTTGTACAACTGTGGCTGAGGTAACTGCAGTCATTGCCTGGCGTGGAACTCAATTCCATGAATACCCCTCTCTTGCAAAAGCTAGAAATTGCTCATCTGTTTAATCTTGCAAGTGAGTTTAGAGCCACTAATACATAATTTCTGTATGGGCTACAAGCTGTAAGAACATACTTGTGACAGAACCAGCTAAAAATAAGTTCATAAATACTGGTACTCAATAGCAATAGAAAAGTGTATTTCATTCCCTTTTACTTCATATGACTGGGTTTGGCAACATGGAACCAGGAATCCTAACATAGCTGTAAACACTCTTGTGGGCACCCAGCAACCTTCCTGAATCTGATTTTTTTACTTTTTTTTTTAAATAATAGGAAACTGGCATGCTGCCAAAAAAGTGTCTTGACTTGACATCTTTATTTTCAAGAATGCCTCCAAGCTCCAAATGAGCCCCATCTGCACAGGAAAAAAGCCTATTGAGTAACAGGATGCATCTTTGTGGGGCTAGAATATATCATAGTTAACATTCTGATAACCAGGTGCTTTGTACTGGTTACATCACCAGGGCAGCTATTTTCTGAATGAGCACACCAACCCAAAACCCATTTTGAAGGCATGTTTGCAAAGTAGTCCAAATGTTCTTATCAATCCAAAAAAGTTGGGGACTCCTGCTCTATTCATAGGCCTTGAGGTACATTTTAGGTGCTGATAAGGGAAAGGCTTTGTTTAATCCCTTCTGATATCCATATTGAAATAAATCTATACCTGAACAGTATTGTACACAGGTACTGCCAGTTTATGAATAAATTAGTCCTTACATATTCTCCTTCTCCAGGGAGAAATGAAAATTACTGCAGTGATGGGGCAAGTTAATGCAGCTTTAAAAGGAAATGCCAGTTCAATGGCTTGTTACAGATTCATTAGCCAGGTTAGGATGAACAAATACTCACTAGAGTTATTTCAATCTGTCATTTTTATTTCCTCAAAAGAAACTGCTACAGCTTCAGAAAACTTCAAATGTAAATCTTTATACACTAGCGAACAACATAAAAAACAGGCAGATTTAATGGTGTAGTTATTCATCCGAGCCATCTGAAAAATTGGACATTTGGTTTCCCTACAAATTTAACTTAAATGTTCACCTTTCTCATAGCTCAGCTCTAATGATGGTTGCGATTTTATGTATTAACAAAGGAGAGCTCTGGTACATATTAATTGAAAACAACATCCATGGTTAACATCTTCCTTATGCCAAGATACTGCTATGACTTCAACAACACAGGGAATCCTTTCCACTTTATGGGTCCAACACCCACAAATGAAAAGTCTTGGATGGGTTCAGTTGACTTGCTTCTCATCCGTTTGTACCTCAGATAACTTCAGATTGTACAATGGAGCAGGCATGAGAAATAAAGGATCTAGGCACAACTTGCCTGTTCTACTGTAGATTCCCTTGAACATACAAGAAATAAAAATTTGCATTTGGTGGTTTGGCTGTGAATGCTGAGGCATTTAAAACTTCTTGTACACCATAACATCCTAGTTACCTACACAGGTAGGAAGAACAGGTACTGAGTTCTACTGCAATTTTCTGGATGTGGGATCTGCATATGGGATCTGCTTCAGGCAGATACTGTTTTTGAAATATTTTTGGTTCCAGAGAAACAAGCTCCTTTTAGAGACAATTCCAAAATTCAGGAAAAAAAAAAACATTACGCCAATCTGTACAATCAGAAGCAAGGCAGAGGCCCACAGGTAGTTTTCTCCCTGTTGTCCTATTTTTCCACATATACTAGAGCTATCCCTCACCCGTACTTCCAAGTAGCAGAATCTGTACCTTTACTTTTTTTTAATGAGCTGGTGCTCTGAACTTTGATAGAACCAAAGAAGAGAATACTCTTTTAATATAAAGAAAACAAATGTATTGTTCTGAGGTAGAAATCTCAGTGCATCCAAATGTTAACCATAAGCACTGAATTTATACAGAGCAATTTCCTGCTTGCACAAAGAAAGTTAGCATTAAATGGTGTTTAACTACTGTACCGTGTAACAAACCCCAACAGCAACTGTCCCTATACAAAGAGGAGTGCTAATTTAGCACTAGAGAGTATAGGCTAAGGCTTAAGTTGTCCACATACAGTATTGTGCAAAAGTTTTAGGCAGGTGTGAAAAAATGCTGTAAAGTAAGAATACTTTCACAAATATGTATTGTAATTGTTTATGTTTATCAATTTACAAAATGCAAAGATAGCAAACAGAAGAGAAATCCAAATCAAACCAATATTAGGTGTGACCACCCTTTGCCTTCAAAACAGCATCAATTCTTCTAGGTACACTTGCATACAGTTTTTGAAGGAGCTCGGCAGGTAGATTGTTCCAAACATCTTGGAGAACTAACCACAGAGCTCCTGTGGATATAGACTGCCTCAAATCCTTCTGTCTCTTCATGT